ATCTAAACAAAGCAACAGAGATAGTGAGGGGTTAATGATGACCTGGGGACTGGGGGTGGGGTGGGCAGTGGGGAGTCCACATCCTGGGGAGAAAGAAGGAAAAGCCTGTGTGATGTGACTGCACAGCTTTTTCAATTATTTTTTGTATGAATTACATGACGTGTTAAAAAGAAATCAAATAAAATATTCTCTAATAAACTGGGGGTGGGGGGAAACAAGTAGCGGACTGGAATTGAAAGGACTGTGGCCTGCATCTATTTTACATGCATAAGTTCATTTAATGCTTGAAATTGCAGTAAGGTCAGGTGGTCTCCATCTGACAGAGTGGGGGGGAGCTGAGGCTCCTTTAAAAGGTTCCCCAAACCTGCCCAGGATTCATGCCTAACTGACTGCACGTTCACAACTCCAAACCCCTCCACCTTAATTCCAGCAGACTTGTGGCCAGAGCAACTTGCTGGGTGATTTCCAGGGGCCTCAATTTAAAGAATTCTGATGACCCCCGCCCCACTTCCTTCTAGGCTGCTCTCCAGTGTGTAAAGAAAATGTAGGAGCTGCAGGTAGTCCATGGCCTGGAGCTGGTGAGCAAGGCCCAGCAGCCCAGTGAGGTGGAGATCAAGAAGTTCCAGCAGATGACAAGAGGCCCCAGCACCATCAGGGACCTTGCTGTGGTCGGACCAGAGATGCAGGTGAGACTCGGGGAAGGCAAGAAGGGATGGGTGTGTGTCTTTGGACCAGACTAGAACCAGGAACGCAGACCCAGGAGGCAAACACAACCTCTAGAGAAAGGCGGGGGCAAGGGGGTGAAGTCAGAAAGCCACTGAATAAGGAAAGTCATTGAAAATGCTCCTATAGTATCCCTGCATCCTCTGAGCACGGTATTGCGCTCAAACGCCGCGCTGCCCTGACGAGCCAGCCACTGTGCTGGGCCAGGCAGGGAGCGGGAGCACAAGGTGAGCTAGCAGACCCAGGGAGCAGCATGAGTCCCTGACAAGTGCTTCAAAGGAAGTCCAGCAGGGGGTGAGAGGATGGGGTGGGAGGGTGTCACTTGAGATGAGTCCATTTAAGTCAAGTCACTCTGAGAAGGGGCAGTTGAGCCCCGTGTGGCATGAGGAGATTCCCACCAGAGGATACACATGAAAGACACAGGGAGGACAAGCTGGCTTATTTCAGGATGGAAAGGACTGACTGCAGCCGAGCAAGCCACTGAGTGAAGTGCTGAGCTGGTGGAGAGGCACTCCCCCCGTCCCCCCACCCCCAGGGCTGCCTGGTGCTCTGCCTCTGTCACTGGCTGATCTGTTGACAGTGGGGGGCGTGGAGGTATATGGGTAGGGGGAGACAGCTGCAGGTCAGGCAGGAGTGGGTGAGGGCCTATCTTAGGCAGTCATGGAAGTGAGAGAAGTGACCCCATCTCCCCCTCCCCCCTCCTCCCTCCAGGTTAAACTGCTCCAGAGCCTGGGCCTGCAATCAACCCTCATCACCGATGGCTCCACTCCCATCAACCTCTTCAACACCGCCTTGGGTCTGCTGGGGGTGGGTGCTGAGGCCCAGCCTCAAGGCAAGAAGATGGCTGGTGGACCCAGACCTCAAAAAGGCCTGCTTCTCCAGGGCCCTCCTTCTGCCCCAGCTGTTGAAAGTGACCACATTGTGCCTTAGCTCTGTACTGCACTGACAAATAAAGCAGGCATTTCTGAGCATTTCCATCTTTTGCTTTCAGGTTAAAGCTTAGTGCCGGGGACCCACTCCCTTTGAGTCAATTCTGCCACATAGAGACCGTCTACAATAGCGGTTCTCAACCTGTGGGTCGCGACCCCGTGGGGGGTGGAACGACCCTTTCACAGGGGTCACCCAATTCATAACAGTAGCAAAATGACAGTTTATGAAGTAGCAACGAAGATCATTTTATGGTTGGGGGGTCACCACAGCATGAAGAACTGTATTCAAGGGTGGCGGCAGGAGGAAGGTGGAGAACCACTGCTCTACAGGGATTCTGAGGCTGTGCGTCTTAGAGGTTCAGAAAGCTTCCTCTTTTCCCCCTGGTGCGGCACGTGGGCTTGAACCACTGATCTGGACAGCGCCACCAGGGCTCCTTAATGGTGAGGGGAAAAAATTAACCAAACTCCCTGCCATTGTCAACTTTGACACACAGGGACCCCGGATGATAGGGTGGAACTGCCCCTGTGGGTTTCCGAGATGGTCACTCTTTATGGGAGGAGAAACTGCTGACTGCACAACCCGTTCTGCCGCCAGGGTTCCTTTGATGGGGGCTGGGGTGTCCCCTGAGCTCTTGCGAGCATTGCAAGGGACTACTCATTTGTTGGGTAGCAAGGAAGCCGAGGCAGGAGAAAGAAGAGTAACCCTGATAGAACCCCCAAGCCTTAGCCACTGAGCCAGACCTGTCCTATGGGCAGATAGTCCACTTCCCTGGACCCAGGAGTGGGGTGGGCAGCAGGAGGCTGGGGGAAGCAATGCCGTAGGTGGAAGGGCAGGGCCTCCCTGGCCCCGTCAGCCACCTCCTCTGGAGTCAGCCTCTCTTTTGCACTGCGAATGCTTCTTGGCGGCCAGCCAGGTCCCCAAGTCATTCCTCCTGGTTAGCTGGTAGTCCGTCTGTCCTACAACCTGCATCAGGCTCCTTCCGCGCCACCTGCTGGTCCCACTGTGAACCTGAAGAGCCGGCCTTCTGTCCCCAGTCCCTCTGAAGTCCAGGGGCAGGACTTTGCCAGGGGCTCTGGAGAGGAGACGCTCTTGGGAAGCAGAGGGGGAGGAGAGTCAATGCCCATCTCCTGGTGACCCCACGTACAAAATGCTAGCAGGTGAGCTGGGTTTTCATTTTATTTTATTGACTGATTGTTGGCAGTAGATTGCCAGCCCTTTCTTACCTAGTCGGTCTAACCTGGAAGTGGTGCTAAAACCTGCCCAGGGGAAGGATCCATCTGGGTGCAAAGCGGATACGGCAAGTCCTACAGCTCCTTCCGGCAAGTAGAACCACATGTGCTGGCTCTCAGACTGCCGGGCTGGGGCTGGGGGAGCAGAAACACTCCAGGGGTGGAGGGAAAAGCTTGGGTTTACTCACTTGTCGGGGGCCAGCCTCCCACAACCGAATGGGCCCAAGGGGCGGTCATGTAATAGAGGGGGAAAATGAAAGAGAAATTGTTAGTCCAGGTAGACTAGAGAAACAAATTCATAGAGACACACATGTGTATAAGGAAGAGATTTTTGTACAAGAGGAATTGAACATTGAGAAAACATCCCAACCCAGTCCAGTCCAAGGCCATAAGTCTGATATTAGCCCATATATCCCATATCAATCTATAAAGTCCTCTTCAGACTCATGGAACACATGCAATGAAGCCAAATGCAGGACGATCACAAGCCAGTGGTAGAAAGTCTTGGGGTCCAGTGGCGTTGTAAGCATCTCAGTGCTGGCAGGGGTCTCCACGTGGCTTCTCTGGCTTCCGAGGTCTGGTTGCGTCCATGTGACTTGTCTT